CCCACCAGCCGCTCCAAGGGAGAAAAATGTAGCAATCTGCTTCTGTGACTGATTCAAAGCCTTGGAAACCCTATGAGGCAATTCTGCTCAGCCCAATCAAATCGGTGACAACTGGCACAGATGGGTACCCCATCACAGGTCCCTGGGTGACATAAATGGTTAAATGCTTGACAGTTAACAGAAAAGCTGGAGGTCCAAACTCAACCAGAGGCACCTTGGAAGACAACCTGGCAATCTGCTCCCAAAAGGTCACATCCTTGAAAACCCTATGGAGCAGTTCTTTGAACACATGGGGTCACCATGAGTTTGCATTGACTGGACAGCAGCCAACAATGCCATCATCTTGGACCTGCCAGATGCGCATTATTTTCTACATTAAGAGACTGGAGCTCAGAGAGCTTAAAAAGTTTTCCCAAGGTTCCACTCCATAGCTAATCTTGAACCCCATCTGCTTGACTCAATTTGTCTGCCACACAGGATCCCACATAACCCAGACAGGGATGAACAAGAGCGACCCAATATTAACCCACAAAGTTATTTTCTTAAATACCAGTATAAGTCCATACAATAAGCCTGTTAAGGACAAGTCCCATTTTGTTTCCCATCTGAACGTGTAGGCATTTGAGCTACTCTCCAATGATGACTCTTGTGAGGTACTCTCTTCCCAAACATGGATCCAAGTAGGCACTTAGATATTAGGAGCAGTACCTGGAAGACAGAAGGAGCTTCAGTGAATAGCTGGAGACCATTAACGGTAGATACTAAATATCACTGAGAAGCCACAGACAGCGACAAGGAGTGTGAGTCAGAGGCACCTCCAGTCCTGGCTCCGAGGCCCGGGGCTATAGCCCCTCCTGGACTCTGGCCTGGCTTTCCTATTGTCCTCAGTTCTTGGTCCCACAGCTGTCTCAACAATAAACCCCTGTTTACTTGATTGTACCTGAGTCTTTCTGTTCCTTGAGCCCCCAGTGCACAAGAGGGGCCAACTGGTTGGTTAATGGAACTCTCATTCTGAGGGGGGTGTTAAGAGTTGTATTACCAGAAAAATCTCCTTGGGAAGTTGTGCTGCCTTGAAGGCAGGGTGGCTGGGGTGGCCTCTGCCTGCTCTCCCTGGCCAGCCCTGGGTTGTGTTGTCTAAAGTGAAGCAGGTGGGCTGCCTCTATCATATCGGCAGGGGGCAGGTAGCCCCTCGGGCCCTAGGAGTTGCCCTGCTGGGTCTGGAGTACACCTGCTCTCTGGGAACGTCACCAGCCTGCTATGAGCCAAGCTTTGCTCTCAGAGCTCAGACAGGAAACGCTTGTCTGAGGTTCCTTCAAGAACCCTCCTCCCTTCCTATCACCTGTTCCTCATCTATAAAATGAAGGATTTAGACTATCCAGCCCCACCACCGCAGTCAAGTTGATTCTGACTCACAGCAACCTGTAGGACAGAACAGAACTGCCCTCATGGAGTTTTCAAGACTAAATCTTTTTGGGATCAAACATCTTTCTCTGGCGGAGCAGCTAGGAGGGTTTGAACCATGGACCCTTCAGTTAGCAGCTGGCCTCTTTGACCACTGTACCACCAGGGCTTCTTAGACTAGCTTAGCAATTTTAGATATTTTAGCAGCAGAAGTTACTGTGTGCCAATCTGAATTCTTCGCAAGCATGGTCTCATTTAATCCACACAACGACTTCCATTCTACAGATAAGAATATTAAGGATTCAGGGATTGTCCAAGGGTTACTCAGGTGACCAGAGCTGAGCCAGGGTGGAGGCTCAAGGTGGCTGAACCCCTCCCGCCCGGCCCTGCCCAGCTCCGCCCCCTAGCCCGGCCGCAGTGCGGGAGCTGTTTGTTTTCTTAACAGGGTTAACCAAACCTCCTGAGCAGCTTCTGCCGCCCAGCAGAAGCCCTGCCAGTGAAAGGCGGCTTTGTGTGCCGGCAGCAGAGGGCTAGGGCCCGAGCCAAGGCGGCGAGCTTCGGCAGAGCCAACCTGCCTTGGGGCTTGGGGGACGCGCCGCAGGAACGGGGGCGTGTAGGAGGCCATTTTTCACACACAATCTCCAGAGGCCCGCTGTGTGGATGCCTTGGTCCTCAGCAAGCTGTAGGCTTCTAGTTAGGCTTCTAGTCTGCACAGAGTCAAGTGTGCCCTGGCTCCCTGAGAGGGGTGAGGGAGGGTGCCAGGGTGGGATTGGAGAGTCAGGTGTCTAACCCTGAAGGCCAGTACAAGATTCCTGTTACACTTTGCCAGGCTTTCCTCCAACCTTTTAGCAATCCCCTGCTCCCTTCCTAACTCCTTCCCAGTCTTCCCTCACTACTAACGCCACCTCCTCCGTGTCTATTTTCAGTGTCTTCTACATGTTGAGGAGCTCTGGTGGTGTCCTGGTTAAAATATTCTGCTGCCAACCAGAAGATGGGTGGTTCAAACCTAGGAGCTGTTTTGTGGGAACAAGATGAGGCACTCTGTTTGCATAAAGATTTACAGCTTTGGAAGCCCTGTGGGGCAGTTCTACTCTGCCCTAAAGGGTTGCTCTGAGTAGGAATCACCTGGATGGCAGTGGGGGTTTCTACATGTTGAGCGCTACCAAGGCAACCACTGACAAAGACAGACTAGGTCCCTGGCCTAATGGTGCTTAGAGTCTGGGGATAAGTGGAGATTGTAGTAAATGTGTAGACTGAGTGGTAAGATAGGGTAGTACAAAAGGAGGGCCTCTTTGAGCAGGTGAGTTTTAGGCTGATAATCAGAGGATGAGTCCACCAGGTGATGAGTCAGGGAAGAGTGTAGCAGGTAGAGGAAACAGCACTTGCAAAGTCCCTGAGGCAGGAAAAAGCTTGTCAGTTTGAAGAACTGAAAAGTCACCTTGGCTGGAGCCTGGTGCACAAGAGGGGAGGAAATGAGATGGGAGATAGAGGCTGAAATGAGTAATTTAGAGCTTTGCAGACTGTTGGGGAGCATGGGTTTTATTTTGTTGTTGTTGTTGTGATTTGGGTGAAAATTTGCAGAGCAAATTCACTTTCCATACAGCAGTTCACATACACTTTGTCTCATGACATTGACCACAATTTACCACAATGCAACAGCTCCCCTCCTACTTCCTCGCAATAGCTACCTCTTCCCAGTGTCCATCCCTCCACGCACTCCTGCCCCCTGAGCTGTCTCCCTGTGCATAAGCAGCCCTTCTTTCTCCCATGATTGTTCTCTCCAAGGAGTGTATCTACCTCAGGTAAATGTTCAGCTTATATGCCTGTCTTTTGCTTGTCTGGAAGCCACAGGTGTGAGTTCAATTAAGAGTTTTATTTCTAAGTGCAATGGGAGACCACTGGAGGGTTTTAAGCAGAAGACTTGATGAAAGTTTGTGCTGCTGGATAGAGACTAGACCTTGTAGAGGGAAGTGGAATAAGAGGGAAAAAAAAAACAGGGGGACCCATTAGAAGACATAGCAGTTTTCCGGGTGATAGGGATAAAGATAGAGGGAGGCCCCCCTGGACAGTAGAATGTGGTAGAGGCCCTGCGGTCCAAGGAAAGCTGGGTCCCTGAATGATGGGGCCCTACAGTGCCAGGGAGGAAATGAAACCCCAGCACTTCTCTTCATGGTTGGTAGTTTCCCTTCCAGGGGACCACATCAGGTCCCTGGAAGTTTCAGCTTCCTGATTCTGGGGCCCATATGAGATGGAATTTGGGGGAAGAAAATACAGGAGGTAGTATTGATGAGAGACCTGCTTGCCACCTTGTGGGGTCATTCTCTCAGCCTCTCAGAGCTGGAATGGAGATTTTCTGCCCCACTTCAGTAAGGGAGGAGGTGATTCAGTAGTTCCCATTCCCCCCAAGCCCCCAAAACAGGCCCTTTGCTTCCTCTTTTCCACCCCAGGGACCCCTACTAAATGTGAGCTCTTGGAAGGCAAGGCCTGGTCCTCCCCTACTTCCGGGGCCTTTGTGAGGCAGACAGCACTGGAGCAGAAGACATTGCCATGGTGCAGCTCAACAGGAACAACTCCCTGACTTGGGGGCGGAGGAGAGGACCTTTATAGCAGCACATGGAGAGCGTTCTAGATGAAAATCTGGGCATAAGTGAGTGAGCAAGAGCAGGCTGGTGCCACCCCCCGCATTTCCTCTTCACCATTTCCATCACCATCACCACCTACCTACCTTCCCCTCCAGGACCAGCCACAATCAAGCTGCCATTTAACACGGATGATCTAGTTCAATTTTTAATCTCTTGAGGGAGGCATATTTTCCTATCATACAGATGAAGGCATGTCTAACACAATTCCAGAAATCCAGATGTTTGATACCCACCCCCCAGACTGGAACATGGGTCTCTAAACTGCCTCTCCTTGGCACACTGGACCTTGAGCAGGTTTTGGTGAGTGAGGGATGAATAGATGGATGGATGGGATAAATGGATGTTTAGAATGAATGGATGGGCCTGTGGGTGCTGGGTGAGAAGGGGGATAATCAAAGCCAGATTGGGTCCTAGCGTTGCCAGGCATGACCTCAGCTGGAGTCTCCAGGCCATGGTCCCAACAAGATTGCTGTGACCCAGGGGCAGGCCTTACAAGAGGATAAAAGTGGACAGGGGAGTGGCCCAGCCCCAGGGAAGGGTCTGAGGAACGTAAGGAACGTCCTTAGTTGGCTCCCAGGGCAGGCACCGAGGACTAAACTCCCGCCACCGCCCATGTCTGGCACACATGCCCAGGTTCTCAGTAAGCGCTCAACAAAGAATAGGTGAAATTTTGACTGGCCCGCATTCCTGTCAATCAATGGGCGCTCAGTGAACGACACACTATCCGTCGAAGGGTCCCCACCTGCGATCCTGCCCCACTAGGCTCAAAGAAAGACTCTTAGCCCGACTTAATCTTCTGGGCGCAGGACCCAGTGGCGCGGAGGAACGCCCGGGGCGGGGTCAACTTGGGGCGGGGCTTGTGGGCCCAGGGGGCGGGGCCGGCCACTCCGGGGTCTGCGGTCTGTGCCGGGTGAGTTTTGTCTCCCAGCGTTGAAAGAGGAGGTATCCGGGGCGCCGATGCTTGAAGTTCACATCCCGTCTGTGGGGCCCGAGGCCGATGGGTCCAGACAGAGCCCAGAGAAAGGCCACATGGTGAGCAGGGCACTGGATGGGAGGGGCTCGGGGACCCGCCGCGGGATTTCCCGGAGCGGAGATCAGTGGGGACCCTGCGCCCCCGGCTGTGGCGTCGAGCCCCTGGTCCTGTGGTGGACCAGGCCGTCGGGGAGCACCTTGTTGGGGGCTTGGGGTACGCTTGGATTTGCCAGTTCCGCGGACCGTGGCTCGGGCACATGAGGAGCGGCACGGAAAAGGGGGGGTGGTGCACCAGCCCATCCTCCCAGGTGTGTGAGGATGCGAGAGGGTCCCTGGAGAGCGGCGGCGCTCCAAGGCCGCTTTGTGCTTTTTGAGCAGCACAGAGCCGGCGCGTCGCTGGGCGAAGGTCCTGCTGGCCCTTCAGCTGGACCTCACGCGCGCGCCCCTGCCACCCGTCCGTCCGCCAGGTGTTTCGAGTGGAGGTGCTGTGCCGCGGGCGCAAACACACCGTGCCGAAGCGCTACAGCGAGTTCCACGCGCTGCACAAGCGGGTGAGGCGGCGCCGACGATTCACCGACCCCGGCCTGTGCTGCCCCGCCCCTGCCCAGCCCCTGGGAAGCCGGAGGACGAGCTACGGCCCCAGCACCAGTCCCTTTATTACTCCAGTCCATGGAGGGGGCAGGTCCTGGGCACAGACTGCGGGGGCCATGGTTGGGAGCGCATGGGCAGGCAGGTCCCAGCCCTCACTGACTATGAATGCCCGTGTGGGGCCGGCCAGCCCTGGGGCATCTGGGGAATTTGGGGCCTGTCACCCCCACCGCCATTTACTCGAGTCCATCCCAGGGTAGAACTGGAAGGGGGGGGGGGCGGCGAGGAGGAGTGGGAGGAGGCTTGGATATGGTGAAGTGGGCTTGAGGGCTCTCAGGCAGGGAGCCGTGACGGCAACGCGGTAACCTCTGGCAGATCAAGAAACTATACAAAGTGCCCGACTTCCCCTCAAAACGCCTGCCCAACTGGAGGACCAAAGGCCTGGAACAGCGCCGGCAGGGCTTGGAGGCTTACATCCAGGTATGCGTGGGCCTACATCCATCCAAGTTGATGTGGTGGAAAACGTCTGAAGCTGTTCGCTACAGATTAGTAAGTAAGCACAAGTAAGACTCTGCTTACCTTGCTTACTGGGTACTCCATCCCTGTCAGGGATTGTAAATTTGAAGAGAGGCTTTGATTCTGTAGGAAGGTGCTGTGAGGTTGGGAGAGAGACAGATGCTAGCCACACCCAGAACTGTAAATCTTTGTGAAGTTGGTCACTACAGATTAGTAAATAGGTAAAAGTAAGCCTGTGATTACCTTGCTTATCGAGTAATCTGACACTGTGTGAGGCAGCCCTGGGCTGCTAAGCAGAGGCATTATGGGGAGGTGGAGGTACCCATATCTTGGGCATGGTATTCACTACTCCAAGCCTCATTTTTTTCTGAACAATAATGGGTCCAAGTGCCCCTTGCTGGCTTATTGAAAGAATTGAAGGAAGTACCCAGGAGGCAGGTGGTCCCAGTTCAATGTAAATTAGTTCCCTTACCCTCCAAGATGGGGTTCTCTGCTGCCTTCATGATGGGGATGTAGGCTGATGTTCAGAAGGGCTCTGAGCTTGGTTTAATGCTCTGCTCTTGCTGTCTTGAAATCCTTTATCATTTTTTAACAAAGGGCCCAGCATTTTCATCTCGCAGTGGGTTGTGCAAATCGAGGCTGGATCTAATTACAGGCTTATTCTCTCCTCCTCTCCAGGGTGTCCTGTACCTGAACCAGGATGTGCCCAAGGAGCTATTGGAATTCCTGAGACTTCGTCACTTCACAACAGATCCCAAGGCCAACAGCTGGGGGTGAGCACCTCCAGGGTCTGAGGCTTGGTAAGGGAGCAGGGACAGTGTTGGGGTGACACAGGCTCTTGGCAGCAAACTGGTAAGGAAAGGTTTGGGGGCCAGGCCCTATTTTTGCTTCTCACATCTTCCAGGCCTAGCCTGCCTGGATCTTCCTCCTACTGAGCCCTGTCTCCCGCATCAGCTTTAAATTTTTTTTTTTTTTCAAATTGTGATTTGGGTGAAAGATTACAGAGCAAATTCACTTTCCATACAGCAGCTCACATACACCCTGTCTCATGACATTGACAGCAATTTTCCACATTAAAAAAATTTTGTTGTAGGTGAAAGTTTACACAGTAAATTAAGTTGTTGTTTAACAATTTTTATACAGATTGTTCAGTGACATCAGTTACAATTTTCAAAATGTGTCAGCATTATCATTATTTCTATTTTTCTGTTCCTATTGATCTAACTTCCTTTCCCCTCCTTGCCGTCTCTTTTGTTTTTGGGTAAATGTTGACCCTTTGGTCTCATAAATAGTTGTTTGCGGGAGCACAGTACTCACAGGTGGTATTATAAGCCAATATTTTATTTGCCTGAAAGGTGACCTTCAGGGGTAGCTTTGGTGCCAAATTCAAAGGGTATCTTAAGGTGATAGTCTCAGAGGTTCTTCTAGTTTCTATCGGTCCAGTAGGTCTGGGCTTTTTTGGCTCTACATTTTTCTCCCATTCTATTCTATTGTGTCTTTGGTCAAAACGCTCGGTAGTAGTCGTAGTCAGGCACCATCTAGTTCTTTTGGTCACAGGTTTTCTAGCCATGAGGTCATGGCTCATGTAGTATGGATGTTTCTTGAGTCTTTGATTTCCTTTGTTCTCTTTTGTTCTACATCAGTAGAGACCAATAGTTGTATCTTAGCTGGCTGTTCACAAGCTTTTAAGATCCCAGATGCAGTCACCAAACTAAGATGTAGAACATTATCTTTATGAACATATGCCAATTAACTAGGCTGTCCCATGAGACTATGGTCCTAGCTCTTTTAACCCAGTAAACCAATTCCATTAAGTTGTTTGGATATGTCTAGTTAGTCTCTGGTAGCATACTGCCTAAGGCACTTGACTGCTAACCAGGAGGCTGGCGGTTCAAACCCACCAGCCACTCCTCGGAAGGAAGATGGGGCAATCTACTTCCTTAGTGATACTACCTCGGAAACCCAAGGAGGGGTCGCTATGAGTCGGGTCAGACTTGATAGCACATAACAACAGCCAACAACAGGTAGTCTCTAACTGTGCCTTCTGTGTGCTTTATTCTGTATGTGGATGTATATGCAGCACAAACATGTATGCCTACTGATACAGCTATATGTACACGTGTATATACACACATATGCCCTCTCAAACAAGTATATGCATACGTATCTACCTATGTGGGCACTCTGGTGGTGTAGTGCCTAAGGCATCTGACTGCTAACCAGAAGGCTGGCAGTTCAAACCCACCAGCCACTCCTCAGAAGGAAGATTGGGCAATCTACTGCAGAGATACCG